ATAACAATAAATTTAATTCATCGCCTTCAAACAAAAATACACCTCAACAGAAGAAGAAAAAACACTTTATTTATTGTATCGTCATCGTCTTACGATCTATATTTCAAGTCGTGCGCTTGAAAATATCAGATTTAGTTCCAAATGTTTGCATCAACGAACAAACACACTGGGCAAACTTAAAATCCTCTAGCTCTCCAACTGAGACGAATGATAGCAAACTCTAAGTTTAAAGTGTTGTCATTTATTCGTCTTATACAAGAACGCAGCCATATTTTGTGTTTAATAAGAAATGGAAAATACGGACGAACGTTTATTCACCGCTTTTGCGCGAAGCAAATTTGATTAAAAATCAAAGTAATACGCTGGGCATACCTGTTTAAAATTTCTATATTGACATTTGACATTTTTTATGTCTATTTAATGATACTGATGACCTTGTATGTAAGTATATGTTGTTTTATAATTATTTAGTAATGATACCAATAAAAGCCACAAATATGTAACATTAAACAGAGTCACAATTTAGGATACAGCTTCCTTGTCTCCTCTTCTAATAGCCTGTAGCAAAAAAATTGGAAAATGATTTTTCCAACAGAAATACACTTAAGTGAAAAAAAATGCAAATTGTCAAAAAAAAAATTGTCAAATTTTTCAGAGGTTTACATAGTGTGAAAAAGGTTGTTTTAAAAAAAGGTTAAAAAGTATCAAAAGAAATGTCTTATTTGGTGGTGTTGCCAGTGCAGTGTCGTTGTCAGTGTCAAAAACGAAATGGAAAAACTTGATAGAAGTTTGGAAGATGCGTGACAATCATGAAATTGTGAATTGTGACAAAGACAACGTCAAAAAACTGGCATTTATTAACAGGCCAAATTACATTATAAAAAAATCAATTTGTGTTTTTTTTGCACTCAAGTGATATAAATAGAGTCAACGTGCAAAATTTAAACTCTCATAACTTCGAAATTTTTATAGATAGAATTTTTTAAACATTTTTTCTATGTTCCTGGTACAGTTATGGACAGTGAATTTCGTCCACCCAATTTCTGTGAATTCACATAAATTCACTGTAGTTTGTGCTTTATTATTGTCATGATAACCGACACTCAAATACGTATTGTCAAATTTAATCAAATTCGAACATGCCAGCAGTAAGTGCGTTTAATAAAATAAAAATTATATCTCTGGTATATGAAGGTATGTCTCAAAGACGTGTCTCTATACTTTTGGGCAAACCAAGGACTACCATTTCAAAGGACAAAGGTAAAAAGTAGCAAGAAGCATTGATCCTTCTGTCAACATGACAAACGTTAATCAAAATTCGGAAACAAGGTTACGAAAATGTGAAGACTAATTTACACTTTTTTAGTGTGTTTTTTTTTAGAACGAAGTAGGTGGCATCAGCATCGGCCGCCCCATTTACAATACAATTTTTAGAATTGTGTAAAATTGGTTGCCTATTGTAGAGGGGTAATTTAAAAAACGAAGAAAATTTTAATGTTATTTGTTTTTTGGCATTTTATTATACATAGTGTCTACAAATTCTTTTTTTACAACAGAACCAGGTTGTTGTTCTACCATTATGCTACACCAAAATGCTGAAATCGTGCACCAACAAACGACACTTTAACTTAAAAAAATTTGACGTATTTCAAAAATAATTTCAAAGACACAGGTCAAAGATTAGAGATTTTTTAAAATTATTTGGTAATTACAGTTCAATGTAAATAAGGCTTGTCACGTGGTGCAAAATAGAGTAACCTGATTTGTCAATTTTAGTCCCTATCTCCCGCAACGCTTCGTTCTTAAAAAAAATAAACTATAATCTGTTAGGGAAATTGGGTGGACGAAATTCACTGTCCATCACTGTATAGCATTTTTCTCTGGGGCGCGAGTTCTGGCGCCACCTGTATAGCACCAAAGAGAGTTAATAAACTACGACACATCGTGTTGTCTTCCCTGTCATTAATTTTCCAAAGTGCTGCTGTTTTGTTTAACGACTTTATGCTATCGTACACTTATCGACTATTACGTAAAATTACCGGATCGTGTCTTTGCCACTTTAGTTATTAAGAACACACGTTCCGCACGTTTCCCGGTGAGAAATGTGAGGCTTAATGTCTCCTTCGCAAGCGTTTTTGTCAGTGAGACGTTTTCCAGGACCTGCATTTCTATAATAAAAGCTCTCTTGTTTCGGGTCAAAGCAACACAAAACGTACAATTTGAATAAGTGCGTCTTGATTATGCACTCCTACTTTTCTTTTTTTATTCCTTGTGTACTTTTAATACCGAAAAATAAATAAAGATTTCGTGCCGCTTAGAGAACACATCAACAGCGCGAATTCTCCTCCCACATTTCACACGAAAAGTACGTTTGATTAATGACCAGAAGCGTGATGATATCCCCTTTGCCCTTCGTTTGATGTGTGCATGGGAACAAAAGGCAGATCCAACAAAAAAACTGATTTCAGAAGCGTACGGTTCGTGTCTACAAGGAAAAAGTTTGTTTACCCTACGTTAAAAATACGAAAAATCTAACGTATCTTTATCTTTATCAAAAACTGAATTTAATCTTCTAAGAGATTATCAAAATAATTATTTGAAATTAAAAGACGATAATTAAGTCTCGGCGCAAGGCATTAAACAAAGGATCAAATACACGATTCAAGCTTATTAAAATCTTTAAAAATAGTTAATTTCGGTTTTAACGAGACTAATTTGCAACTCGGTAACGGCTTGTTAAATTACTAATTATCATATTAAAAGACCCCCAAAAAATTTTTACAATCCTGAATGCGTCGTAAAACCGAAAACTCCGCTTCTGTATTATTTGTAATTTTGTGCTCCAGATTGCCTTTTGTTGATAAAAGATGCTTCATTCTAACATTATAAGGGATAATTTCGGATATTTACAATGGCGTGACAAAGAAACGAAATAAGAGGACGAAATGGAAGTGATAAAAAAACTGCCGTTGACAAGTAGATAGTACAAAGGCTAGAGTTGGGACGTGATAAAAGAAAATAATTGCTTAATTTTAGTTCTTGAGGGTGCACACTTGAAAGATATGAAGGAGTTTCCTTCCACCTTGTTCCAACTTTAACTATAATTTGGAAAAATGAGACAAAACAATGTTTTCTTTAAATTTGCATTTTAGTGCATTGAATTTTTTTTATTTATTTACTAGAATTCAACACATTAAAGTTAATTAATAAAAAAGAACAATAGTTCAATTATGATGCAAATTTCAGAAGAGGAAGAATATTTCCATTTAAACCATTCAATATACTGCCAATAAATGAACACGAGTATTAATCAAATAATGTGTTTACACAAAATAGGCAACAGTAGTAAAAATCCTGGGTTTAAATCACATGCAATTTTATTTTAACATTAGCTTGTTATTAAAACAGATTGACGTAAATGCAGGGTCAATTTCGAAAATCTAGTAATGCAACTGTACTTACATTGTCGATTTAATCAGATGAGTTGAATAATAGCAATATCACAATTGATAAAAAAAACCTATAAAAAAGTTTCATTTTCTCACTTTTCTAGAGTTCTAGATAAAAAAAAGTAGGAAATATAAAAAGATCGAAAGATGGGTCTGACACCCTTGTCGAAATACTTACCCACTCGGCAGACATATTTGAGAACAGCGGAGTAATAGAACAAACACGTATACGATGAAAAAATAAAACTAGAGCGAACTACGGATCCAAAGAAAGTGAAATCATATTACATCCACTCGAGAAAATGGGAACGAAACGTCCTCGAAGGAATCGTGTTTATGCAACGTAATTCGAAGGGTTACGACACTAATTTGACTCAACATTAGTACGTTATTACAGAAATATACGCACGTTTGGACTTTTGGAGAATCGAAAAAATCTTTCATGGTACCATAAAATTAAAGCTTTTGAAGTATCTTTGCCATTGTTGTTCCCATTCACTTTGAGTGGAATTCGATTAAATGCAAATAAAGTTTTAATAGACAAGCTGTATTTAAAGAACCTTTTCAGAAAAAATACAATGATCGTCCTTCGCATTATTTGTTCGCTAAGGTAATCCCGATTCGATTTAGTTAGTCACCGGTCTGTCTCTTTTCGTCGAACTCGTTCTGGTTGTTCCCTCGAATAATTTGAGAGTTCCGAAAACATTCACAAACTCGACAAAAGTCATCGAGTGTTAAAAACCAAGGACTTTTCCAGCACAAGACTATTACTAGCTTGTTAAAAAAAAACAACATTGTACTTTTAAAATTTGCCTCCTCTTGCTCTCAGCCTATTAAAATGCTTTATTACAGACGCAGTTTTTAAGAGAAAATATTTGTAACAAAACGACCCTAAGAATAGCTCTTTGTAATCTTATATTATGATCAAGAGTTTCAGTTAAACTTTACTCTCATTAGGAAAACCGACGCCTAGACATGCATAAGGAATATTCTGGGGCGTTAATTGTGGCGTCAATGTTGGGATGTGTTATATTATAATGCATGCGGAAACGCAGCTAAGCTTGTGGAGAAACGAATTTCCTTTGATAGTTGTAAGGGTTCGTTATTAGCACTAAAGTAGAATACTACAATGCATGTACCACCTCCTATTATTCACCATTTGTAGTACACTACGACACTACATAATTATGATATTGAGTCATATAGTCGCAAGAGTTATATTTTATCACAACAATAATAAAGCTTTAAACTTAAAGTTTTTGTTACAATCCTTTACATGGCATTTTCCCCTTTATAATTACACGAATTTTGAGTCACCAGAAAGGATTAAATAAAAAGCACTCCCGAGGGATTTAAATGTAATCTCTTTAAAAATAATGGTAAACTCATAAAGCACGTATTAATAATTTTCAAAATTGAAATGAGATTGTTGTCCCTTTTTTTCTCGTTTAGATAACGTTCTTGTTATTAAAAGTTAAGCTGATAATTTGAAAAAAATTACAGCCATAATATCCCCGGGGTGCACCTAAAGTTGAAATAAAATCGGCTTACCTTATAAAAGTACGAAGCTTTGGCCGTCTTTAAATATTCCACGCTTTATTCTGAAATCTGGAAAAAAATTACAGTTTTATTAAATCTGTTGAATATTTTTTAATATAATTTAAAGGTATTGAAACCGACAGCCAACTGTTTTTATAGCTGTGAAATGAGGTTTATCCATCTATTAAACTCGCGAGTTAAAATTAGCCCCAAGATTCGCTTACAGAAATAATTAACGTGAGTCAAACCGAACAACTGTAAAAGCAATCGAAATAGCTGTAAGCAACGTATTTCAAAAAATCTAATGCACAAAAAATCTGCGTCTAAGTAATACAGAGTCTCGTCCTCCCCCATCGCGAGGCAGCTATAAAAATGATATAGTGCTCCACAGCATTTCCTTTTATTCAGGTGGTCCATTTAGAAACGACACTTGATGAACACGAGTCTGTTCCTTTAAAAAATTCTGTGTTTTTCGTTCCGTGTCGTGTATTTATTCATGATCCTCTCCCGACGCTTATTTGCTGAATAACGTCTACGTTTCTTTGATCTTGGAAATTTTTCTATCATTACTTAATCCACTGTTACTTATACGGTGAAGAAAAATACGAATTTAAATGTAAAACAAGACTCGTTAACGACACTAACGAAATATTGAAGACGATCGAATTACTAGGAAAGACAAAGCCTCGAGTTTCTGTAATGAAACGGAGTCCAGATGTTACCCAGACATTCGCGTAATGATCATTCCAACTTCGATTCGAAAAAACAAATCTTTTCAGTTTTTTAGACTTTAATGAAGTATGATTTCTTAATAGTATATTATAATGCTAATTTATAAGCAAGCCTTTAAAGGCGCTTATAAAAGAGTGTTATACGCTATTTTTTATTATACCTGCCCGATCTTTTATGAGCATTGAAAATGTGAATTTACACAATAAAATTATCAAAGGTTGTTTGTGAAGCGTTTTCGTAGAGACGGTTACTAGTTTACGTTGTTAAGCACATTTTTTCACGTTATAATTGGTCCAGACATTTCACTACTTCTTGTTACTTAGACAACTTTAAAATTTCAGCGTGCTATAAAGGCCAAATTATGCACGCTGCAGCGTGTTTTAATTTAAGATTATGATGCAGGTATAATAAAAAATATTTTATCAGATTCAGACACCATTAAAAGACAACATACAGAAGCTACACTTTGCTAACTTAAATGCTAAGAAAAGGTTATATAAGGAAGATTAAACGAACTGGTAAATATAGCAATTTATATCTCAACAAAATGTCAGCGCTTCAAAATACTTTCTTTGATAAATAACTTCAATGCATAAGAAAGTTTGTTTTATTTGCCATTATAGACATAATGCTGTTTCAATTTCGGAAAGAATGGCAGCCATTAGAAAAATGACAACGGCATATCTCAATTTCGCTCTGATTATTTCAACATTAAACACCAAATAAACAAACATACAGGGTTATTATACAGGATGTTCCGTTTTTATTGTTACAAACTTAAACACGTGATAGAATATTCAATTTTAAGACAAAAGTTTTCTATGAACATGTATCAATAAATGTTACGTAATAATAATAATCGCGATAATAATAATAATAATAATCGCGATATCTCAGGAATGGTGATTCTTGGAAAAAAGTATAAAGACCATTTTGTAGATAATTTTAAGATCTATAATTTTCGTCTGAGCTACTTTTTTGATAAAACTTGCCGTTTTCGAAAAAAATCTAAAAAACGTCAAATATTGACCTTTGACCCCGAATAACTTTTTTAGCACACATGGGATCGATGGGGACTTTTGACACTTTATTTCTAATGGTATACCCAAGGTCTCCACCAAAATTTAGCTCTGTCGGAATTTTCGTTATTTGACCACTATTTTTATGACTAATTTGACCGGACTATAAGCGAGCTACACCCTCTGAAAGAGATTCTTTTTTAATGGGGTTTTCCCACTATTACAGAATAGTTAAAATTACAAGAGTTGGTACAGCTGATTACTTTTAAACACCTGAACGAATTTAAAGATCACTTGTCGAAATTTTTAATCATGGGTTTCTTAAACTGTGATACAAATTTCATTTTTTATTTTTATCCTCTTTATGATCTGTAAGACAAATTGTAAACTGATTTTACTCAAAAACGGTAAGTTTTATCGAAAAAACGCAAGAGACCTCTTTTTGGTGAAAAACTATTAAATTTAGAATTGTGTGGCTGAAAGTGGCAAAAACGAACCGCCAAAATAGTTAGGGTACTTTTTACCCTAAACCCCCCAGTTTAGGACGCCCCTGAGTAAAAATTTCGTCATTTTATCTTTGAATTCATTTGGGTGTATAAAGGTCAGTTGTAGCAAATTTTGTAATTTTATAAACGATGGTTTCTGAAATATTGGAAAAAATCTATTAAAAGATGCACCCCTTTCAGGAGATGTGGTTCCCTTATATAAAAATTTTCGATACATGTTTATAGGAAACTTTTATCTTAAAATTGAATATTCTATCACCTGGTTAAATTTGTAACAATAAAAATGGAACAGCCCTGTGTAATTTAATATTTATTATTTATAAATAATATTTGAAGCAATTTTTTAACTTTAAAAATGAGCTATAAAATGATGTTAATTTAATAATAACTCGTTTCCTATCTCTACTGATAAGAATTTTACAGCCCTCGGAATGTGGGTATGGAAATTTATTTTTTTGTAATAACTTCGGAACCATTTGACCAAATATTATAAAATTTGGAATGGTTACTTGTGAGAACATACCTTTTAAACTAGTAATTACGAAAACCGGATACATCTACTCAATTTCCGGTTCCAGCAATTACAGGTCATATTTTCTGTTTTTTCGTTTTTTTCTCTCTTAACATTATTTTTTTTTTTTTTTGGTAAAAACAATAGAGTAATCAATTTTGAATAGAAAACGCAAACCTTTAATACCTCTAAAATGGACCGTTTTAAAGATATTTTAATTTAAAGTGAGAACACCGAAAGCAAAAATTATGAAGTTTGAATGAGTTATATACATGGCAACAAATTAAAAATTAGTGTTAAGAGGCCAAAAAACGGAAAAACAGAAAATGTGACCTGCAACTGATGAAACCGGAAATTGAGTAGATGTATCCGGTTTCCGTAATTACTACCTAAAGGGTATGTTTTCGCAAGTAAGAATTCCAAATTTTATAATATTGATCAAATGGTTCCAAAGTTATTACAAAAAAATAAATTTTCATACCCACATTTCGAGGGCTGTAAAATTCTTATCAAAAAAGATCGGACATGAGTTATATTTAAATTAACATCAGTTTATAGGTCATTTTTGAGGTTCAAATATTGCTTCATATTTATGAATAACCCTATATAATACATATAGATATAGAAAGATGTTTGTAACAGTTTAAAATTTGAAGCTTGGCTTATCCACACATTAATAGAGAACAAATAATAATTAATATAAAATTAATGTTACACATTTACTACAATAGGTAATTTTTAAAACATCGTTTCTTAAATTCCTGAAATCGTCTGTCTATATTATTCATCATTATTGTCAACTTAATTTCAAAATAACAAGTTATTCTGATCGGAAATTTAATAACATAGTAAATGTATAATACTTAATGCACATGATTTTCTTCCAAACTGATTATGGATGGTGCCATAGAAAGATTAAAAAAATTGGCATTTCCTTTTCGGGGTAAAAAAAAATCGCCGATGACTGCAGGAAGCAGCAATTTTTTAAATGTAAATTAAAATATCAACACCATAGCTCGAGTTGATGGAAGGGTGGCAGGTGGTAAGTGTCGCCGCCTCTGACGAACATCAAGTGCGAAGCACACAGCTTGTGGCATGTCAAGAACAGATGCGGTTACAGCATAAACATGTAAAGAGGCCTTGATATCTAAACAACGCTGCGAGAATAATTGAATTGCAATTTTGATTGACCATCGAACAACTGTATGAATCCATCATAACATTGATAACACTCGACAAAAGCATATCAAATATTCCGGGATTCTTTGAAACTTCATCATCGTGTGGGGACGTTTTTGAATTCGGGCGTTTCGTTTCACTCACTGGACATCGATCTTGTTGCTAGCATTCATCTCGCATCAAGAAGGACGTAAAACGAGTGTCCCCGCTCTAAATCCATCAAATAATACCTACCTAATAAATATCTGGGTGAAATCCCGAAAGATGAAAGGAAACGAGTAGAGAACGAACGAACAATCGATGTGAGGACAAAAAGCGTTTCCGGGCATTTCTCTTTTCACAATGTCCTTGAAACACCCAGAGACATCCGGGATAAATGGAGAATTTCTTTTTACGGACTCCGGCTTCGATTGCGGATATCTGGAGGCAACCCAACAAATTCCCGATTTAAACCTGTCCCACTCATTTGTGCTTTAGCTCACGGGCTCCCAAATGTGCGTGAAAATTAAGGAAAACGGCGCCTCAGTCGAGGACAACCTCATCGACGATGGGAAATTGCCAAAGGTTTAGGCGGAGGCGCGTGTTAGGAATCCTGCATTGTTATTTCCCGGTCTTTCTATATCATAGGCCGTAATCACCTGTTATTTGTCGTCAGTGACAAGAGCGGATTACGGAAACATCTTCACGAAGAATGCTTGCTTCATTCATACTATCCACGAAAACGGTTTATGAGTGTACGGGTCTAATTCCGTTTAGCGGTTTGCGAGAGATTGTTAGCATTAATTGTTATCCCTGAATGAATAACTAAGCAAACTCTCGGAATAAATAAACACTAAATTCGATGAACTTTGCAGAGGATATTTAACGTACGTGTGAATTGGTTGCATGTGTACATTGCTAATGTTTATTTATAAAAATGTTTAACTATTTTGTATTTGTAACAAACCGTTTAATAATCATGTACCGGCAATAATAAGCCTGATATAAAAGGAATAAAGTGTTAGTTGCGCCAGTAATTATTTTCATTGGTAATCAAAAATAATGAATAATTTGCAATACTCGTGTATGGACTGGAGCAGTGGAAATTAAATTAAAATTAAAATTTGTGACGTTTACAAATAA